CTCCTTCCTTTCTCTCCTCCCATGGCCTAGCCTCCACCATACGCCCCCGCTCATACACAACATCTCCTCTCCCTCACAGACCGCACTCACACACACCGCACTCCTTCTTTTCTCTCCTCCCACGGCCTAGCCTCCTCCATACACCCCCGCTTACACACAATATCTCTGTCCCTCACAGATCGCACTCACACACACCGCACTCCTTCTTTTCTTTCCTCCCGCGACCTAGTCTCCTCCATACGCCCCGCTCATACTCGATATCACCTCTCCCTCACAGACCTCTCTCCCACGCCACATTTCTTCTTCTCTCTCCTTCCGCGGTCTCCTCCACACACCTCTACTCACATTCACACAAACTCCTCCACCTACGACAAATTTTCAAATCCACATCAACTAACGCATGAAACTTAAAATTACCATACCTCCACTCACACTCACACAAACTCCTCCACCTACAACAAATTTTCAAATCCACATCAACTAACGCATGAAACTTAAAATTACCATACCTCCTATTTCCATCTTCCATCCTTCCGCTGCTCGCACCATCACCGTCATCTTTCTTCTTCTCTCTCCCTTCTCGTTCCTCTCCGCTCCAGTTTCTCTCTCTCTCTTTCTCGAACCTTGTTCCCCACGCCCCCCGCTCTCTCTCTTCTATGTTTTCTCTTTTCTTTTTCTTCCCTCTATTTTTTTTCCTCTTTTCTCTTATTTTTTCTTTCCCTTCTCCTATTTATACCTCACCTGCCTCTCAAAATGACGTCGTTTCTTTTTTTTTTTTTAATTACTACATTATATGTCATTATTAAATTTTATTGAGAGATCAAAATTATTGGACCAACAAATCTTTAAACTTGGAGGTTTAAAGCATAATAATTTTGAAGTAATTTATTAAATTACTAATACTTTTGAAACTTAAATATATATATATATATAAATAATTTAGTATCGATGATTTAGTTTTTTTTATTATTTTACATAAAATTATTAATTTATATATAACTATATAAGCATCCAATGGTACTTTTTTCATTAAAAACGAATGCAGACAAGAATAAAAAAGATGGCATGCAACAAAAGTTAATACGGATAACGACCTAACTATATTTGGAAGTTGAATAATGACTTCTTTTTTATTATTATTATTATGAAAAATTAAAATAATTTTTGTTGTTACCATTTGTTTATATATTTTGTGGAGAACTTTTTGGTCACCTACATTTAATTTTAACAATAATTCTTATTTATCTTCATAATAAAAAATGCGAGATGTGAAATCTGAAGAGTAATATAGTTCAAATATTTAAAAATAATCTTTTTTTGAATAAATTTATATATACATTAATTATAATATAATAAAAAATTATTTTCATAAAAAATTTAAATTCAAACTAATAAATTTTTTTTATAAAAAAAAAATGTTTTAATGATTCTAACTGAAAAATAATTAGTATATTTAAAGGTACTATATAACATGTCATGTAAATAATATTTTTTCATAATCTGACACTACACTTAAAATCTGCATTTTTCGATCATTGTCTTTGCATAGGCTTTTTGAGTGGGGAAGACCTGTGCTTTCTCTTCCTTTTTTAAGTAGTGGTCTGCCATAACTTAAATGTTTCTATGCGAATTATTCAAGTATCTCCATCAAACTTTCCTATTCTTGGATGTATATCCATACATTTTTACATATATATGATATTGATTCCAACTCAAGATTGTAAGGTCACAAAGAAGTATGACATAATGGCAGAAATAAAGTTGTCCACGCAAGGTAGAGTTACTTTTTGACAAAAAAAAAAAAAAAAAAGAGCCTTCTATATAAAGAGATGAGCTTCTCAAAGCGTATAGATACATATAAACATATTTACACATATGATGAGCAAGATGGAGAGTTCAGGCGGAATGGAGAGGCATTACAAAGTATATATTGCAATGTTGTTTGTGCAGGTTATTTATGCGGGTATGGCACTGTTCTCCAAGGCTGCCATTGCCAAAGGAATCAACCCTTTTGTATTTGTTGTGTACAGACAAGCTTTTGCCACTCTTGTCTTGGCTCCATTTGCTTTCTTCCTTGAAAGGTTAATTTTTTTATTTATTTCATTAATTGATAATTACATTCATTATTATAACTTTTGTTCTTTTCCTTTTTTCACTAATTACTTTTTCTGGGTTTCCTTCTGAATCGCAGAAACAAGGATTGTTCTTTGTCCTACATGCTAATCTGCAAGATTTTCTTGATTTCCTTATGTGGGTATGGACTTATTTTTCCAATTTTAAACAACATTATTGAAAATAATTAATATTTTTCAATTCTCAAAAATAACATTTTCATATATATAAATTATATACAATTTTCCAGAATAACTCTGAGCTTAAATCTTTACTATGTTGCAATCAACTACACTACTGCAACATTTGCTGCTGCCACCACCAACACAATTCCTGTCATCACCTTCCTCATGGCACTTTTCCTTAGGTGAATATTATATATATATATATATATACACACACATATATATGTACTTGGAAATTCTATCTGTTCCTGGATGGTTTTGAGTTAGAATTATTTTTCTGTTTGGCAGGCTGGAAAGTGTTAATTTAAGAAAATTACACGGGACTGCAAAGGTGTTAGGCACGATTTTTGGTGTTTCTGGAGCACTCGTGTTTGCTTTCGTGAAGGGTCCTTCTATAAAATTCATAAAATGGGATTCAACAACTCAAAATCAGAATTCAGAATCATCATCAATATTCCAAAATCATTCCGTAGGAGAATGGATCAAAGGCTCTCTCATTATGCTCTCAGCCAACACAGCTTGGTGTTTATGGCTTGTTTTACAGGTTCAGTAATTATATACTAGTTTTTGAGCATTTCACTTTACTTTTTTTGAAATTTTTTTAATATTTTTTCGCTGATTTTTTGAGTGAATTTGGCTTATGTAGGCACCAATTGTCAAGCAATATCCTGCAAAGTTAAGGTTCATTAGTCTGCAATGCTTCTTCAGCTGCATGCAATCGGCTATTTGGGCAGTCGTGGTGGAGAGAAATGCATTGGCATGGAAGCTCGAATGGGGATTACCTATTCTCTCTGTAGCTTATTGTGTAGGTTTTTATTACATATATATAAATCTAGAATAGAAAATTAATAAATTAATATATAGAACACGCACACTTAACTGAAACATTATAATATGTGAGTAAATTTTATGAACATACGCTAAAATTATATATAGTGGTTGGTATACATAGGTTGTTTCAAGTTAGATTTAAATTAAATGTATCATATGGTGAAATTTTGCAGGGTATTGTTGTGAATGGTATTACTTACTGGTTACAAGTTTGGGCTATAGAGAAGAAAGGTCCAGTTTTTACAGCAATGTTCACTCCATTAGCACTAATCATCACAGCCATCTTCTCAACCTTCATTTGGAAAGAAACCCTTTATTGGGGAAGGTTTAAATCTCAGACTTCTTTTCATTAATTCACAGAGATATATGTATATATACACACGAATGTATATGTATGTATCTTTGTTACATGCACACGTGTGAATACATATTCATGCAGATCATAATCCAAAACTTAGAATCTCTTTTCCCAAGTGGGTCAAAAGGAAAACATACTGTCTCTAAAAGTAATTTTCTGTTCAATATAATGAAATATCTTAAAAATTACAGAAAAAAAAAATGTATAATTTTCTTACTAATAAGTTAAAATCTGATTATGAGCGTGTTTGGGCAGTGTTGGTGGTGGTGCACTTCTGGTGGGTGGACTGTACAGTGTGCTGTGGGGGAAAAACAAAGAAGAGACAGAAAGGTTGAGAAAGATCCAAAATGCAGATACCAACGTTTTAATGGAGTGCGTTACACAACACTGATTTTGTCTGATGGGAATTTGGTTTTTTTTTATGTAAAAACCAAACAGGGCATTAATATTCCATACACACACGCACACACACACACATATATATATATAAAAGCTTTACTCTTGCATTTCTCTAGTTCTCTGTATGTCTTTTTTTTAGTAATTATATTAATTAATTATATTAGGAATATATGCAGAATTAGAGGTTGTATACTTCACTTTCTACCGGCCACCTTTTTTTTTTTTTTTTTTGCTTAATTGTATTATAATTGACTTTATTTGACACTGCATACAGAAACAGCATATTACATGTTTAACAAAAAAAGAGAAAAATATAAACATAATTTAAAAGTAAAATATAAATATTGATCATTTATTAAGGAATAAATTAAACATTTTATTTACACTACAAATGTTGGTAAAGTTATAAATGACATTAAATATTGGTTTTCTACGGCATTCATAAAGTTATATTTACAAAATAAAAGGTTAAATTATGTCATTTTTTATATTAAATTATGCATATTAAAAATTACATTCATAACATAATTAATTAACTACAATTTTAATATGATTAAAAAAAATAGCACAAATTTGCTAAGCTAAAAGTAGAGATTAAACAAGCAGCCACTTTATTTTATATTAAAAATAAATAACGATAGAATTTATTAAATACGAGTTGTAGATTAAATGATTTTCTATGACTTATTAATTATTGAACTTTTGGAGGCCACAGGCTCATAAATAATATGGTTTAGGCCCAAGCCCATAAGTAAATAACTTATTAGTTCTAAATTTATTATGAATAATATATAAAATTTGTTTTAAAAAAATAAATAATTTTTTAAAGAATATTATATTTGATCTAGAAAACTATTTTAGCAATAGATTATTAGGAGAAATGTTAGGCCCAATGGGTCCTAGATTTGGAAGGTGGACCACGTTTATTTGGTTTTGAATTTTGGGTTCAAATTATTTTGATATGAAAAATCTACGAAACACATTTAAAAATATTTAAATGCATAATTATACACACACTTTTTCAATATTATTGGAAAATTAGTGCTTTTATTTCTAAAAAAAAAAAAAAATTAGTATATAATTATTGATATGTATTTAAATATTAAACTTCATGAATTTAATTAAAAAAAATAAAATAAAATATTACATGATTTGACAATATATAATAAGGTATTTAAATAAGATATTTACTTGACTCAATAAATTTATCTCAAATTGCTGAAGATCTTTTTGCCTGTCCCAAGGCCAAAAAGAATCTTAATTTAATAGCAAACATACGCAATTGTCAATATTTAAACCTTAAATCCTGCATATGATTCGTCAACTTTATTCCAGCATTTTCCGTGCGATTTGATGATATATACGTGCTAAATTATTGACAATGGCACATGAAATAAATAATATCCATTTTATAGACAAAATTAAGAAACAAAGTCAAAGTTGCAGGAGATCAAGTTGCCAAACAAAACAATCTCGCCAATTTTATACGTAACAATTATAAAATATTTATTTAATTTATAAATATAGCATAATTTCACGAATATATTTATAAATTAAATATTTTATTCAACTAAAATTATTAATTAAATTTTAATTAGATTAATGATTAAGTGAATTAAAAAATAATAATTCTTTTTTTTTTTTTTGGGTTTTACTTTATTAAATTAAATAAAGTTTACAAACTTTTTTTTTTTCCCGTGCAATAAATATCACAAATTTAACTCACCTAAACTACATTTTGGTGCGCACTACAAAATTTAAGTAGGCAAGTTCGCCGTGTGCGGATGCTTACGTGTCAGACAGTGATTGGGTTGTCACCTGAAAAAAGTTACCGTTGTGTGAAAATTGTGTGGCTGAGAGTACGGTGCGCAGAGACAAGACAAGGTGGAGCACGAAAGTCAATTGACACCTTTGAGATTTCTCTGTTCAGTCCTGCTTCCAACACAAAAACAGAAAACTCAACTTTTCGGTTAATTGAGGAGCCAGTGTATATATATTTGAAAATCAAATTATTGGAAATGGGGAAACTAATTTATTTTTTGTTTAGTTTATTGTGATATAATTTTATGTAAATTAAAATATAAAAAATAAATTGTTGATTCATATAGTTTTATTAAAATTAATATATTTTATAGGAAAAATAAATTGAGTAATGGGATTTTGCATATCTTGTTAGCTTATCTACCAAGGAATTAGAATTCAAATAAAAAAATGAAATGCACTCAACTGAAAGAAGAAGATTCCAAAGGCTAGTGCAGTACAGGTCGGACCAGATTATCTGAATGATGTAAATAACTATTCTACATATACATACAGACATGATAGAAGTGCTCTTACACGATCATGGATTAGTTTAAATAATATTCAGGTATTTTTTTTTCTTTAATAGAAACATGATTATGTAGCTCTATATATTTTTTTACTGTCGATCCATTTATTTATTTTTTAATAAATTATTATGTTTGTAATTGTGCTTCAAATACATCAAGTTAATTTGCTCTTCAATTTGCTAAAAATAATTGTAATACTAATTAAATTAATTTCAATTCATAAAGAAAAAATAAATTTAAGGCGAGTATAATTTTATTAAAAATAAAATCTCAAATAAAAAATATACGTCATAACCATCATTTCATTAATATATTTATGATTAAATAAAATTAAAATATGTTTTTGTAATTGCAATTATTTTTATAAATTACCTTTAATTAATTTGGTGGATGCTGCTAGCTATTTCTTTCATTTTTATGACTTTATGTTATCTTAATCAATATATATATTCACAATACCTATATAGAAATTAACTCAGGAATATACTCTCTAAGAACCCTTAATTAGCCCGCTAACTATTTCCAATTAATCCTCCATTGTAGCGATACATCATACAAAACGCGCTTTAATATATATTATATGTATATTATATATATATATATATATATATTACTATGTTAGCAACCTTAAATATTGTCCCCCGCCGTGAGCAAATGACAAACACAAACCTCCAAACCTACAGAAATTTCCATACATGCCATACAAATTTGAGAATGATCTTCATTTTCAGTTTATGAGGTAATATATATTTATTATTGTATTAATTAATAATTAAATATTTAATTGTTATTTTTTATTAAAAATAAAATTGTAGAAATAAAAAAAAAAAATCATATGACTTAAAAGGTAAAGTGTCTTTATAAATATTAAAAAAATATTAATTGATCACCAGCTTTTATTGTAACGCCCTAATTTTATTTTTTTTGCGGCATTACAATTAT